GAGGGAAAATGGCGCCAATTGGGGCGCGGGGGGTTTGCTTTGTGGCACCGACGAGCGGGCCAATGGAGGACAAGAGTGCGCGTGCCGCCCGTCCGCGCGCTGTCCATTTCACCTCAAAAACGGCGCAAACTTGGGCCGGGATGGTTCGAAAGCGGACAGAAAACAAACAAAGGTCTGTTCGCGCTCGCGCGCTGGGCCGTCTGGTTTATCCATTCTGCCCCAGACAAACGCACCCACATGATGGGTCACGCGCTGGAGTTGGCCTGACGTGCACATTTTGGCGCGACAGCGGACGCAGCAAACCGAGCGAGTGCATTTTCGGTGGTGGACCACTCGGCATACGCGTGGCCGGCCCGTCTCCCGGGGGTCCCTGACCATGGCCTCCTGCGTACGCCGCTTGTGTGGTACTAGGCGAGTAATGGCGAACACAGAGCCACAGAGGGGAGAGCTGAGCAGCGCTGCCATGACCGTGATATGGGTCACGGCTTGCTGGCCACTGCACCGAGGGGGAGAGAAGCGGACGTATGTACCTGAGCATAGATAGCATTATCCGTTCATGTGCCCTTGCACTTGGATTACTACAAAAGATAATGCATGTGCTGCTGCATCTGCAAAGTGGAAAGCACCAACTCTTTCCACCAGATGGGGCTCGTCCGTCTAAAAAATCGTGCTTGGACAGTCGATAAGGTGCTGTGGGCTCGTGCGATGGGTTCACTCGTGTACGTACTAGCACAAAACATAATAATCAACCCATATTGGAGCACAGACAAGAGAACTGTGCCCACAAGCCACAACCAGCACCAGCGGGATGACTCCTGCGGTTGGTTTGATCACAACAATACCTCAAACGCCGACGGATCATCATCAGACGCGGCTAGGGAAGATGCTTCCTGCGCCCAACAACATACAGCTAAATACCTTCAATTCTAACATCAGTCAGTGAGTCCTGCCATGGCATTGTTTGCATCAACTTCCTCCTAACACCCGGGCACCAAGAATGCCCACCCCACTACCAAAACAACGCCTCCCTCTCCCTGCGACCCCAACTCATCATCGTGCAGGTGCTATTTACATACAGATTACAACAGACGCTGTCACCTAAATTCAGGACCAAACAGACAAAAGGGAGACTAAAGCACCACCTGCCTAGTTCCTCATCTAACAGGAAGGAGAATCCTACCAAGGAAACCTCGTGTCACAAACGGTCAGCCCGATTACCGGTTGTTCTAGGAACAAACAAAATAAGCCGAAGAGGAGGGCATACATACACCAACGACGACCTCAGCACGACACATACATGGAATTCCTCAATGAAGTGCTGAACTTCCGTGACAACACAATGAGCCATAAAAATCGGTGACGGTCAGCCGCGAATCTTGTCCAACACCTGCAGTGCCTCAGTAGCTGTCTATCGAACCGTTGGAATTGATGTTTGATCTCAAGGAGAAGATGGCGCACGCTGAGCTGTAACATGCGCGCCACACCTCGACATGCCGTCAATGCTATGCTGTGTTACGTTCTAGTGCTTTGACTGCTTTGATCCTCCTCACACTTTGCAATCACGTCTCGAAGCTCGGAGCAAAGTCTGGCAACCTCGGGATTGTCCCAGTGTGGTCTGAGCTGGTCCATCAGCATGCTGCACGGATCAGGATCAGGGTTGATGGGAGGCAAATCCCGTGGCACGAGAGGGACAAGAAACGGGTGCTGAAGCAACTGAGGTATTCTCCACCGTTCGTCTCGGTCCCAGGCCAGGCACCTTTGCATGAGATCAATAAGCCATGGGTTGTCGACCGGTTCATAACTGATCTTGTGGTTCCTATCGGTAACAGCTTTGAATTTGGTCCAGAAAGTCGTGTAGTCTGCAAATGGTGTCTTACCATACACCATCTGATAAAGAATACATCCAAGAGACCAGATATCAGTTGGCCGACCACACTTGAAAACGTTACCACTTGAATCTTGCTCATTACATAGCAATGCTTCGGGTGACATGTAGTTAAGTGTTCCTACCTGCGCTTTACAGGGAGAGATCAAAGATTAGCATGCCAGATACAACAAAACTTGATGTGATTGGTCAGTAATATTCTTAGTAATACAACAAGTATATGCAATGGCAGAAATAAACGAGCAAAAGCAAGTTGCATCCCATGGTACCTGAGAATCACGCTGAATGTTTGTCGTATCATTCATTATAGCTTTGGCAATGCCAAAGTCTATTAGCTTCAGTGATCCCTTCACAAGCATAAAATTTGCAGGCTTCAGATCGGAATGCACTATCCGTTCCTCATGTATTGTATTGACTGCTTCAAGCATTTGCTGAATCACAAAACAAGGTAAATTTGAGAAGGCGCTAGGATTTTTGAAATTCAGAATGAAATAACCACTTATCTGAAAATATTCATCATTAATAATGCAGGCACAGGTTCTAGCAACCGACGTCCCCAAAATGCAAGGAGTATTTTGATTAATTAGGAGAAGGTTTGGGCCAACAAAGACATGTGGTTTATGTGACATAAAATTGATGTTATTAGAAATGATTGCATTTCTATATATCACACACACAACCACACACTAATCAATTAATTATTGGTCAAAGCCTTGTCTCAATGAATCACTACACATTACATGTTGGGACGGAGCAAGTATATGTTTAACAGAGCCAAATAAACACATGCATGCTTAAAATTTTGCACATGCCAATATTACGCAATACTCCCTCCTTCCCAATTTGTTAGGCGCATTAGATTTTCATGCAATCCCAATATGCAAGGCAAATGCAGCTAATCTCCTCTCTTGAGTAGTTATTGAGGATCGCTAATTTCATGGAGGTAGTCAAAAGAGATCGTGCATGCATCCTTCCTTTTTTCCTGAGCCGTGATTGCCTCCCTCTACGATGGTTCAACTAGCGATTAATTGGTGCGCTAATCTTCGTGCTAATACTAATACGCCTAATAATATGGGAAGGAGGAAGTATATCATAGTCAACTACATTACTTCCAGCTCTATCAGTATAAAATATTAACCTACATTGCACATAAGATGTATTGGGGCTTAGTACAAACTTTAAAAGCACAGTAACTCAATAGAATGTGTGAACATTAACCTAAGCAGGACACATACAAATGAACAATGGAAAATTGTGTAGCAGTTGGGAAGAGGCAATGCAATTAAAAAACTGGAACAATATTTCTGAGATAAATTGATAAAATACTCTAAAATAAGTTAACAAGATTTGGTTCACCGAGTAAACTGCAACAACTTTTTAATGTTGATTTGAAGATTGGGAAGAAAAGCTTGCATCAAAGGTATCCACCTACATTCTAGTTCAAAGTTAAGCTAATTGTCCTCTACTCAAGCCTTATGCTATTACTTAAATCGAATTAAATAAAGGTTACCTGCCAATAAAACCGCAGCCAATTTTCATCTATTTTCATATTTGAGTTGTTCCTCTCCTTCCACTTCTGAGCAACCATATGTGCTAAATCAATTTCGCCAAACTCAAGGACCATGTAAATGTATTGATCATCCTTAATTTTTCCATCCCGAGGTGAGATAGGGCCTTCTTTAAGTAAATTTTTATCAGTGACCTGGTACATGCCAAAAGCCTTAGGCAGATTAGATAATATTTCCAATATACAGTGAAAGTATCCTGTGCACAGTGCTGCCGCTAAATACTACTCCCTCTGTAAACTAATATAGAATGCGTGAACATTAACCCCTGGCAGTGAAGTTTAAAAATATCAAGCAATGGAAATTTCAAACGACATGATTTTGTTATGCATTCACCTGAAGGGCAAAAGTTACGAGAGAAGTTCTAGACAATACAAGGAGCAGAGGGAACAAGAAGCTTCGAGTTCAAAGACAATAGAAGTTAATTTTCTGTACGGCATAATAAATAAACTAAAATATCATAGCATCCCTCTGCATTTAATAAAATACTCCGAGAACACAGAAAATGAGTCCGATAACTCAATAGAGATGCTGTGTACAAGTATCAAGTTATATGCAGCCCAAAACTAGTAGAGATAAGGTTAATACCAGTACCTCGTAATCAATTAGCTGTATGATGTTACTCTTTCCTTTCAGCTTATTTAGGTAACCGATTTCTTGGCAAAAGCCATATGCCGTCGGGTAGTCACGACCTTTAAGCTTTATCTTTTTCAGGGCGTATATTGCACGTTCCATTGATATAACTTTGTGAACTTCACTGCTGCCACCAGAACCTATTTTACCAAGTTTCTGATAAAGTTTCCCGTTCACCTTAAAGAAATGTTCAGGATCATAACCCTTTTTTCGGCGCTCCTTCTGATCCCTGTTTGCTTGCGAAGTACCCCCATCCTTGGCAGACGTAGATTGTTCATTAGCAGATAACCCTTGGCCTTGGGATGGCAAACCTCCATTGCCAGGGGCAGCTTTGTCCGTTGTATTAGGAACCTGATGGTTTTTAGGATTCCAATCACCAACACTTGATGGCATTGCAGCTTCTTGCTGTTTGGGAGGGACACTACCTGGTATAGCTGCAGATGATTCCACTGTACATTCAGGCATCTGCATTGGCGAAGCATATCGGCTACTCTGAGGAACTCGTGTATTTTGCCCTGAATGTAGTGATACAGCAGTAACAGAAGAACCAACGACAGAGCAACGGGTCATTGGCTCTCCATGATTCTGATTACAAGCTTCTTCAGTCCCTTTTTGAGGCAAATTTGCTGCATCATACTTGACATCCATCTCAACTGGTGCACCAGCTAGCTCAAGCTTCTGATGTTTCCCGCCTTGATCATGTGCTGCTTGAGCCACATGATAATTATCTCCTGCTGACAATGAAACAGAATGCAGATAAGACAACATACTGTCCATTCTACTGTCAGTGGTTACTCCTACATTCTCACCTGCAATGTAAACCGGTAACTAAATACAGAAACAGGTCTGCATTTAACTTTACAAAATAGCCAGAGTCAAAAAAGGAATCTTACCCTGAGAAGTTAAGTGTGAATCGCCAACTGAATAAAACTGATCTTTCTTGAAACCGACGGCCACTGATGCATTTCGAGATGTGATCCGAGATGAAGAAACATCTAACGACGACTTATTCCTGTCCACAAACACATCCATTTCATTCTTCTGCTGGTCGTTTTGACCAGCAATCTGATTATGGCCATCTGTGATAGTACTCAACATGGAAGGTGTAGTCAACATGTCGTTTTGATTTGATGCCAGTACTCCTGCACCAGCGTTAACATCCTTTTGATCAGGTGACACCTTTTGCAACCTGGAGGCCGCCAGCACGCCTCTCTGCTTCTGCATAGCCATTCCTCCAGAACTCTCTCTAACAGAAGGGCTGGTACCAGCTTTCGCCGGCCCCTCACCTCGAGGCAACAGGATACGAGTTGCACGCTGTGTTGTACCTGAGGCAAGTTCAAGTTAAAACAAGATGACAACGCATTTTAGACAAATTCGGTTGTAAACGAGCATCTTTCTCTGTAGCAGGGACAGGGAATAGAATCGGAAAGACAATTTAACTGTAATTCTTACCGGGAACAGGGCCTACCACAAAAATGTTTTTTTACCAGGACGATAACTCAGCTTTATGTTAAAATTCCACATATAACATTACAATATTTCATTTATTCCAAATATTTTCTAGTATGTGAAGAAAAGGTCTAGACTCTGTATAGACGGAATCTATCTAAAGAAAAGTCTAGCTTCCGTATAGACAGAATCTAAATTAATATAATCCATGAGAAGAAAAGGTCTAGATTCCATATAGACGGAAATCTGAGATACAAACCACATAGGAATTTTGCAAAAAAAAACATCAAACTAATTTCTAGGATTTTAAAACTGAGCTCAAGTCTGAAACTTTAAAACCATTTTTTCCTTAATCAAGCTGCAGTGAATATACAATTGCATTGCAGAGCAACTGAGAGGAAATGTGATATTACAACCCTCGGATAACAAACAATATCTCGCTTAAATCTAATTTGCCACACCGATTGATAGACTTTCTAGAACGTCTTTTTGACATAGCCTTACAAAATAAGCACATCACAGCTCACCATCCGCAAACAAAAGTAGAGCTAGCACTAACAGTCAGGATCTACTTGCAGGTTTATTTCCCGTGTCCTGAAGCTACTGCGTGTTAACTTGGTTCGATTTGCAGGTGACAAACGTTGAACTAGATGCATAACCCTAGATGGAAGCAGCAACGCTTAGGCCTAGGGTGTGGCTGAGCTCACCGAGAGGCCTCTGGCGCTTGCAGGCCGCATGGATCTGGCCCAGGAAGTCGAGAGGGTCGCCCGTGACGGTGGAGGAGGAGGAGGAGCCCGAGGAGGAGGTGAGGTTGGTGTGGCCCGTGTCCCCGGCGGCGGGGAACGTGTTGCTCCTGCCGGCGGCCGCGGCGTCGTCGGGGGCCGGGGGGCGGAGGAAGTTACCCCTCCTCTCCATCGGCTGCGTCGGGGCAGGCGGTGGGGCCCAGCGGCATCTCGCCGGAGAGGCGGACCGGGTGGGGGAGAGGCCCTAGGGTTCCGGAGCTCGAGGCGGCCGCTCCGGGGGTCGCGGAGGGGGACGCTCGGAGCCGGCGGATTCCCGGCGCTGTAC